CTCCGCCTCTGCCTCTGCCTCTGCCTCTGCCTCTGCCTCGCTCCACAACAGCCCCTGGACGGGGGCGTAAAATATTTAGAATGAAACGTCGAAGTATGTACATAAATATGAAATGAAAACGGTAAGAATTCATAATAAATATGTAAAATCGGACAAAATATAACGTATTAAACTACACTAATCACATTTTCATAATACGAAAGTACATTTATAAAAAAATTCCTAAACAATGTTTTTTTTAATATAAACGTTTTAGAAATAATTTGGAGAGCGCAAGGTTGGGCACACTTTTCCGTCAGTAGTAAGCTTCATCTATTGCCATCCACAATTTAGCATCCAGACTGTACGCAATAGAAGCTATCGTTCAAACTAACACTATCTACGACCAGCAGTTACTGCAGCTTCCAACTCTCACGGAAGTGTTACACATCGGCGATAGTCAAAGTTTCTCAGAAATTGAGGTTAAAGGTCCCGAAAAGTGGCGTCAGTGATACTTTTCACAGCTAAAGGTGAAAATGATCTCAGTCGCCGAAATGCATTTCCCGCCAACGAACTAGCTGAAGCACGCGCGCCGCACTACGAGAAAATCCGACGCACTATGAGAAGCAGAACTACTAGAATATCCGACCGCGTCTTCACGTAGCGTATCTCGAGTAGACACCAAGCAGAATAATGTAGATAAAAATCGTGTTTTTTTTATTTTTTAAATTTTTTTAGGAAATGCGTTTCCTAAAAACACGCAATAAAATTAAAGAAAATTGATAGAATAAAAAAACATTTGGTGAAAATAGCAATACATGTAATATAGGACTAAATATGTGAAAATATGTAACGAAAAAATTGGATATTGTGCTTCAACAGCGAGGATTATCCAAGATTGCAATTTTGAAAACTGTAAGAAGAGAAACAAAAACACATGTAGTTACATAAAAATCTTATCTGTAGCGATTCACTCATCCACTTAAACATGGCGTTATGACTGAGTACTGGCAGAGAAACTAGTAGTATTTATGCCAATATTGCGTACTTTGTTAATCATTGTTATAAAAGTGGACACAGATTAATATTGGATCACAACTTTGTTTCTGATAACCCTTACTGCGGAGGGATATCCCCTCCGAATATGTAATATTATATTGAAAACCGTCTCATTTTGTAACTTGCGTCATAAGAAACATAAGTTATAGTCCTTTTAGAAACACGTAAGCCTGATTTTAAGAACCTAGAACGCACCGTGCCCGAGTTTACGAAGATGACGTGTGTTGCTGCTAACGTGTGTTTGCGAGTCACATTCGAGTATGCGCCTGTTGTTTCCCATACATCATATCTGTATTTATATTATTTTCTCCTAAAATCTTTTTGATGCAGGTATGGAGTACAATTCCCAGCAGCAGTAGCATTCTTATGGGGACTTGTGTCAATGAAAAAACTTGAACTTGTCTTAAAAAAACACAAAACCGTTATTTTTTCCTAGCGAGTTACACAGAATGTCCAGGGAGGAAACAACGAAATTTTGAAAATAAGCTCTTTGTCGATTTTAAGAATGTCTAAAAACTCCTTTCATATTTCGAATGGTTGTGCCGCAATAATCACTCAAAAGATAGTTTGAAAAAATAATTTCTATTTTTCATTTTTTTTCTATTCCAAATTTGCATTTTAGAAGCATACGAGCATTCTAGAAACATGTAAATTGTTTATTATTTAAAAATTATTATTTATTATTTTATTATTATTTATTTACAAAGAAACATTGCAACATGAATAAAAATACGTTACTCAAGTGGTACTGTAAACTGCAGTAACAATTTGTCAGTGCGTTTTCGTGAGTTTGCTACAATATGAAATCTTTACTCCAACGAGCCAAACATTAATGGAAATTTCGACGAATAGGGCTATCAGGAGAGCGAGTAGGCTCACACCAGTCGATGAATACGCCGCGCCTTATCAGAACTTTATGGAAGGTGCTTCAAGAGCGAAGGTAATAAAACTAGCGATGCATGTCATGATAAGGTAAAAAACTCAATCAAATAATTCTCAAATGTAGCTTCAGAAAATATTTAAAATTCATATTTCAGCCCACCACTATTCGAATGAAGTTAACGTTCACCATTCATCCTAATGTCACTGTGAATGAATAATATTTTTGATGGATTGCTACAAGTTGTTCTTGATAAACGGTGGGTTTCTGAAGCTCTTTATAACTATTTAAACAGCTTCCTTGAACGTTTATGAAACATCCTCAATTCACCTTTAGATCTAACAAGAAATATAAATAGTTCTTCGTTATTTTTATAAAATATATTTTCATGTTTACTATTTGAGATTTTGGTATATTCCCAATATCATTTCATCGAATGATACAGCTTCCGGACCACAAACAGCACGTTCCTTAACTTCACTCCTTATGCCCATTTCGTAAACGATTTCCAGTTCTCAGAATTTTTAAAACAGGGCTTTCTAATTGTGAACTCTGTGTTTTGTTCAAAAGAAGAGCGCAAGGTAGCTGTCACCACATGTCACCAAATGGAATTATTTAATGTCTTTTGGCGCGGTAACAACTACAGTCATTAGACATCTGAGTGTAGAATTGAGTGTAGGGAGGTAGGGCTCCCCCATGTCGCTGTGGGACGTAATATCAAGCGCCGACTTATCCAGCTTTCGTATTTACTTGTCTGTGCGGGAGGCGCTGCGCTCTAGCCACAGGTGTCAACATTTCGGCCACCGTTCTGCGACCTTCTTCAGGGCGAAAAGCATTTGGGGCCGAAGCGTTGGCACCTCTGCCTAGGATGTGGCGTCTCCCGGACAGGCAAGTAAATACTGACTCCGACCACAGAAGCCCAAGCTCTCATCTGCTCCAGCTGGTATTTATCGAAAAAATCACGTTTTTTTTATTGATTGATTAGTGAATCCCGGGCGCGTCAATTGCTAAGGTCATTACCAAAGTAAGAATGGAGTATATTTTATCGCGGGAGCTACAGGCGATCTTCCCCCGCTCGATGGCCAGATCCGATCCCGACCTACCCGTTGGCTTTCCGGGGGGTTTTCCCAACCAGGAATCTCCTACTAGCATGGCAACGCCCCAGCAGGGACGAGCTCTAAGCTCCCAACTGGTCTCCCGTCATGTGTGTAATTAGTGTAAAGTGTATAACGGGTGAGGAGAGAACAAGGAAGAGGAAGGAGGTATCGCGCGCGGTCCGTGGCCCGTTTGTTAGCGAATTGCTCAGGCACTCGCTTGATGTTTATTGGAAAAAGCACGGGAAACTACTGATCATAGTAGCCAGCCGTTAGATTCCTACTCCAGACTCGACCTAAGTATCCAGCTAGTGTGGAAAGTCCTGCTGTCTTCGGGAACCTCAGGTCCTGCCGGTCAGAGGCGTTGCAGTGACATCAACTGATGCCCTGAACCACCTAACCCGGTGAAGAAACCACGTACACCTACCGATCAGAGCAGTTGGTCGCTAGAATTCTTCTCCAGGCAGCGGCTGAATGAGAACTAGCTATGAAGCATCGGAAACCTACCACCGTCGAAACTCAGGCCCTACTTAGCTCCCAGCTGTAAATTGGAAACTCCGATACTTCACCAGAGTTTGCACAGTACATAAACGTATTTTGAATCAGTAGAAAAGTATTACAATAAAGGAGAGGTTTGAAGGCGAGTGCGTCCTTTGAGTTGTAGGAGACAGTCGATAGTGTTGTAAAGATAGCGTGGGCGGGCGAGTTATAAAACTACCACTATAAAGTACGTGGAAACATTCAAAAGACTTACAATGATTTAATTAAAAACCCATGTTTATAAAGTCGATTTTTGTCAATATACGTGACTAGTAGCCTGCTACAGCAAAAATGCTGCAGAACAAAACCAGACAAAATGGTTTTCCAAGAAGTACCGTGCATGCTCAAGGATAACAAATAAAATACTCTAAAATGAACTGCATAAATTAAAAATTTTAAACAACACAGTCTTCAGAAATACTGCAATAATATTGTATAATACACACACAGTGCAACAGTTCTTTAAATACTAAGAAATTCAAAAAGCTGATGTTCCATAACGCAACATGTGAATAGCAAATATCGAAAGATCTTCCTTGCACCCCTGCCGCCACATGATGGCAGCTTTGTCGTAAGTAGTGATGCACTAACTATGAGAATTCAGTAAGTATGCACAGTATAAGTGTGTAATGGATAACCATATCAAATATTTATAATTTAATCAAAATCAAAATTTTTACTGCTTTTTTCTTTTTTTAATTTCCTGGGTATAATAGACTCATAGTCACTTCTCACATAGTCGAAGGCTTCATAGTTTTTTTCAATTTCTGCGCAAATTACTTCGAGAATGTATATCTGCACGTGGTAAAAACACAGAGTTATCTTAAAGTATGAACTTTTAAAGGCAGTTAAATTCAAATTATATGACGAAGAAAGGGAATTTCTATCCAGTCTATTAATACATTTTTATTGAGACATTAATTCCAAAGCATTGGAAGTTAAACATTGATAATTATCAATAACACAATCATAAAAAAGCTCTAGTTCTACCACGTAGTTGTGCCAAGCTCATATAAACAGTAATAAAATGTTTGCACATCGGTAGAGCCCAAAAAACAATAACAATTGCTTTATATAACTGCTCTCACAATGGAAACTATTGGTGCAGAATTGTTGAAAAGACCCAGACTTCCAGGAGATTTCTTACGGAAGAGAATAAAGAAGAAAAATAGAGTATTTCCTTTAATAAATACTGATTTCTAAAAACAAAATTATTAATTATTGGAAATAACTGAAATCAATTTTTCATCTATTGGTCGGGTTGGATTTCCCTTTTCCCTTGTATGATTTCTTCTAAGCCTTTATTTATTTCTAGAAGTTCCAATTAAAGTAGAAATTTCGATTCAATAGTCTACCACTTCGCCAATGCAGATTCTTCTCGCAAGTGGCAACCGAAGTTCGCATAGCATGGAGACGAAATGGGCAACAGTGATAAACAAACAACCAGAATGATAGCTAGACTAAAACAGACCAGAACCAGCGCTATAGCTACAACAAACAACCAGAACCAGAGCTATAGCTACAACAGACAACCAGAACCAGAGCTATAGCTACATCTTCAGAGGCCGAGACTTTACGAATGCTTTAAGAGGCATGAAGCTTTTCGAATCCATGCGTAGTGAATTGATGTGAAGTTGTACAGTTACACGCGAAGTGAATTATTGCAAGAGGAAAAAGTAGCACCGCCTCACCCAGACCAAGCTCTACGTACCAGACTGGTCTGCCGGCATGTGCGGTAGTGTAGTGCCTGTAAGATAAGGCTGATAAGACAAGGAAGAGGAAGCAAAGATCGCGCGCGGCCCGTGGCCCATTTGTTAGGGGACTGCTCCGGCATTCGCCTGGAATTGAACGAAAAATAACACGGAAAACTACTAATCAGAGCGCCCGCCGCCTTCAGACTTGCTTTTTAATCCTGCTACAATCGGGACTCGTACTTAGGATCTCCCGGTCATACGAACTACAGGATCATCAGTTGATGCCCTGAGCCACCTCCGAAAGGAGGTAACGAACAGGTTTTGACGTTACACGTTGTCGTCGCCGCCGCCGTCGCCCTTGGGCTGTCTCGGCGCCGTTCCGCCCCACATCGCCGTCCCCAGCGGCGCCGAATCGTCTATTTGCGCCCGGCGCTCCCGCCCCTCTCCGCTCTCCCGCCCACCGCCCTCCCCGCTGCCCGCCCCCTTTCCTCCACGTCCCCGCTCCCTCTCGTCTCCCACTCCATCTACTCAGGGCACCAAGTAATATCGTTGCAGGGCCTCTGACCGGGCGGTGCTAGGGTTCGACACTGCGATCGCGATGGCAAAATTTTCGACACAAGCTTCAGAGCTATAGCTACGTAGCACGTAGCTACCTATTCGTTTTATAGAACGAATTCAGCCGCGGTCTGGAGGAGGATTCTAGACGCCGGCTGCTCTGATCGGTAGTTTTCCGTGGTTTCTCTGATCAACACCAGGCGAATGCCGGAGCCGTACCCTAACAAACGGACCAGCAATGAGAGCGATGTTTCTTTCCTCTTCTTTCTTCTTCTATCATTCCCCCTTACATTTTCGTGCACTACACCTTGACACATATCGGGAGGTTAAGCTTGTCCAGTCTGGGGCGGCGCCCCGCTGGTGAGAGACACATGGATGAGAAAACCGCAAGGCGACTATTAGGTCTGGGCCGGGTCTCGGCATGTTGCTAGGGGAGAACACCGCCACCTCCATTAAGAACAATTTGCCCTACGGAACTAATGACCATTGCAGTTGACGCGCCCATAATCACAAAA